ACGTTGACGCCAAGTTACGAGCGGCTTAAGCGATCGACTGACAAGGGGCGCTAGGCGGGTCGAAGGCCGCGTGGGTGAGCGGCTGCGCTGGCCACTGTGGAAGCAGGTTGCCACAAGCCTGCAACTCCGCAGTCCATGGTATGATCGAACCTCTCCAGCGCCAACCTAAAAACCATTCAGTAGGCCGCAGATAACCCAACGGACTTCTCAGGCAACCGACCTTTGGCGTTTCTTGGCCTTCAGGTGACGTTTAAGTCAGATCTAGACTGCAGCGCAGATCGGCAGTGCTTTTCGACTATTAGATGCGATTGTCACCTCATCTCTGGTGGTGCTGAGGAGATTTCGGACAACTTTATGCGGTAATTTACGCTCCCCGTGATTTTGCTGTGCCTTTCACTAAGGGATTCAAATGTCAAGAAAAGTTTGGCTGACTACACGTATGTGTTAGCTCTGTGCAACCGCATGCGCAAGCCACTGAAATCCCCTTACAAAAAGGCCGTTCTACGTACTCTCACATCACCACGAGTTGTGGGATCCTTTGCGGGGCCAAGCGAGACATCGATTATTTCTCTTAATTCAATATCAGGTCAGACCAGGTTTATTAAGAGAAATATAGGCAAATGCCTTTGAACTCCTAATTGCTAAGGGACAGCTATGAAATGCATTGGTTCAGCAGAACATTTCAAACAAATGGTAATGTGACTTAATATAACTGAGTAAAAGGAGCACACGGTGAAAAAACTTCTTAGAAATTGTTTGCAAATTCTAGAAATTTGAATGCTCTTAGAGCGATTATAAGGAGAAAAACTGTCGCTCGTGGGTGATAGGATGGCCTGCTGCCGAATGTTTGATAAAAACCGCAATGGGATCCTCCTGACATGTTTCAATGTCCTAGGAGTCGCATGAGGAGAAGATTGCAGAGATCACGAGAAAATCAACGAAGCGTCGGAGATGAGCCCATCATACACCCTTGCTGGTTACCGAGTCTGCCGACCTATTAACGAAAGCAGAGGGGCCCGCCACGATCCTCAGCAATGGTTTAGGACCGCCATTAGAAAGAACGTTACAGGGCCTTGTAGCCTAGAGCCACAAGGTTCGGTAGAGGTGATGATTGACGCGATCGTTGCAGTTCGCATGAAGATGAAGAGGACACATAGTGTACGAGGTAATAATTCAAAATAAATACCGCTGCAACATAGCAAGTAGTATGTTTTCTAACATTTAAATACTGGCGGTGTCTTATAGCGGTCGCTTTGTGCTAGTCTCCGATGGCATGGTAGCTGTACTTTCCACGGATGGGGACATGAAAATGTCCGCAGGCAGGACATTTCTGCCTGAATTACTTTCTTAGAGAAGAAATTTCGTGCGCCCAATCTTGCCGCAGTCACAAGTAGATTGAGAGGATGTCCGCGCAAGCTAGTGGTAGTAGCCAGCTGAAATAAATCGCTGGATGCAAGGCAGCAGTCCTTAACCCGCAGCATTTGAAATGCCTGTATTAGGTCACCGCGTAGCTGCCTGTAATCTCGGATAAAACAGTCAGGATTGGTCAAGCGTGTCTCAGAAGGGAGGTACCCTTGGCCTCGTACTAACTTTGTTGCGTTTCGTTGAACCCTTTCAAGGGTTTTTCGGTCCTTGACTATCCAAGGTTTCCAGGCTTGGATGTCGAACTCCACTTCGGGTCGCACAAACGTCCCAATGACCTTATCAAACAACGTTTTTACCAAATTAAGCAAAGGCGCGCTTGATGAAGCACAAGGTAGCATTGGGAATTGGCTACCTTCAAGCAGTGGAGTGATGGCTTCAAGGAGGGCGTTAACCATAGCCCGAGATCCTTCTGAAGAAGATGCGATCACTGGAACAAGGGTTTTATTTAAAGACTTTTCGGATTCTGTCGAGAATCCGAAAAGTCTGTAAATAAAGCCCTTGTTTCCTGTGATCGCGTCTTCTTCTTCTGAACTGCTTCCTGGAACTCGCATATTCTCCTCTATTGGCAACACCGCCTTACTTACTTTAAAGTGATAGTAGCTATTTGCGCTGGTACTACTGCGCTACCTACCCTCACTCACCTTCAGCAGGTGTCCAGAAAGACTAAAGAAAACAATTGCTGGTACTACTTCTCCTTCTACTGTTATTTATACTGCTGCTTACTAGCAGTGTAGCTGAGTCAAAATAGTGCGGGTAGTATTACTGACGCCAATGATTGGTCAGAAATGACACTGATTAGAATCAGTGTTGGGCTTATGTTCCCTCGACATCAACTAGGAGTTGGGACCTGGATCTATGCTATTCCGAGTAAGGTAGAGGTTTGAGGTCCGTAGCATATCAATGCATGCCGTGCTTTTTACCCCACTGCTTCTGTTCAACAAAACCTTGTCAGCTTTTCGTAAAGTGTAGACTACAAGGGCTGGGATACTGCTGCTAGAAGTAGTATGTCAGAAGTGCTAGTTCTAGTTATAAAACTTGCTAAGACCAGTAATGAGTATACGACAACGCGGCCTGGACGAGCATATAGGAAATTTGAACCTAGTTTGCAGTTGTCACCTATATCGGAATTATAATAAACTGAAGGGTTAAAGAAACCTATATGTAATAATAGATAAAGATCTACCATACATTGAGGTCGTAAGAAAGAGGTATCTGCCGTTTTTTTCAGGCTATCTTTGACCGTCTACGGTATGTAGCTCTAGCTTGGAATTTACAAAACATTATTTGGCTAAATAGGTACAGTAGAAGTACTGTGATAAAGGTCAACTGTATGACCATACAGTGTAGCAGGAATAGTGCCATATTAGTTCTTATAGTCCAGAGGGAACTGTCACCACATTAGATCTAACGAGCACGTAAATTAATACGTAGGAAGTCGGCTCCCACCTACTACATCCTACACGTTCCATTGAAATATATTGATTGGCTCGAACGATGCCTGCATAGAAAAGAAAACCAAAATAAATTTCCGAATATTGTAAACTGTGG